TACAAAAGTATGTATCGTTACCTAACACTACCCCGTGCAAAATTGAACAAGGTTCTGCAAATGCCAAAGAAATTATTATCAACAGTATAATAAAATTGATTATCAAATATTTTTTACACTGAGTTCATGAACATTTGCATTTTAACTGATTAGTTTCAAACTCAACCTTGGTATTATAACTGTAGTTAGAGTTTATTGGCTACACTTAATAGGTTTTAAAACATTACAAAACTAAAACAGGCACCTGTATGTAATAATATTTTGAATGTTATCTTGTAATCATAGCTCATATGTATGCTATACATATAGCTATCGCGCTAGTGGATAAAAATGTGCAACTATTAATAGTAGCACATTTTTCTTTGATTGATTTGATTAAAAAATGTGCAACCTTTTTTATGTAATTGGTCGGCAAACGAGCAGGCGGATTACCTGATGGTAAGCAATCAGCGCCGCCCATAGACACCCGCAACGGAGAAGTTACGAGTGCGTTGCCGAACTTTCAGAGATTAAGGATTGGGAGATTTAGGGATTTGGGAAGGGGAAGGATTGGGCCTCCGATAAGCAAGCATCCCAAGGTATTAAAATAATTATAAATTACCCGCGTAACTATACATATGTTGACTAAAACCCCCTACGTTTCGTCTCCTACTTCTGGCTGGGGCCTCGATACATTACTACGCTTGACCCGCCACGGAGGTTGATGACCTACATTAAATTAACGTGAAATAACAATAATCACCAAAAAAACGTTTTTACTCGTATTGAAGAATCAATTGACCTTAATCCCAGCTTAAAAATAAAAGTATTGCCACCATACTCGGAGTTATTTTAATGGTTATTTAATTTAGTTCTTACAATTTATTTGCGGAAACAAAATCGTTCCTAAACAATAATTAAAGTAATTATTACTTGTCTCTAAATACAGCAGTACTTATTAATGCGGCGTCCAAAAAATCAATTTATTTTAAAAACCAATCAAATTGACAAACATTTTGAGGAACAAAGATAAGAAAAAAAGTAACAATAGAAAAATAAGTATAAACTTAAGACCAAACAAAAACGAGCGTATCACAATAATCAGGATAACACAAATAAACACAGAAGAATCAATAATTTAATCGATAAACACAAGTTTAACAAAAAATAAAAACATTACAAGTCACTTGCTTCAACTGACTGCTAACCTTGAAGAATACAAGTTATATTGACATGCTTATTTACAATACTAATAACCCTTTAGTATGTTAGTACATACTTATACTTATACATATTGTACATAACATCATAGTTAAAAAGGTAAATAGCGACCCGAACCGGCTTCTTTTCTTTTTTTCTTTTACAAAAAACTGCACTACTCTAGGATTTTCCCTTGTGTCGTGGGTGCATATACAACCATACAAATTCACATACACAAACCACCCAGACCCGAAACTTGTAAATCATACAAAGTGTTGTACCATGCAGGAATCAAACCCGCGACACGTTGTACAGCAGCCAGTTGCCTAGCCACCCACCGCGCGAACCGTGCAGTCAAACTTCGCAATGCCTTTACTGTTTCATGGACTTTATAATACTTACATACTATAAACACTTCCTCTTCAATCAGTCAGCTATAAAAAACCGCATCAAAATGCGTTGCGTAATTTTAAAGATTGAAGCATACATAAACCTAAGGGGCAGAAAAAGAGACCTTTTTATATATTGCGCTATTTTAGGCAAAGTCGCATCCCTAATCCCTTGGTATGCCTTATATTTAGAGGACCGAACTCTCCTTATAGGTGCTAATGGTGACCAAGGAGATATCAAAGAAAAAACATTTATCCTTTGAAATGTAAAAAAATAAATAGTATGTCCGTCAATGACGTAAGTTGCACGTTCCAAATATAAATTCGAATTGAAAAGAACGTGTAAAAAACTCAACCGGTTTTCTTATTTTAAAAATTGGTTGTTTATTAAGGATTGATCCCTCCCAGTCTTTCTCCACAAAAAGATAGGGGTATTTCGAAGGGTACCTAATAAAAATACAGAAGTGCATATATGCATATACAAATACATGATAAACATAACATTACATCTTGCATCTACCACTGGATTGTCTCTGCATCACCCAAAGGTTTTTTTTTTTTTTTTTTTTTTTAATTTATTTATTTATCAGGACTTTTACATTTTATGTATACCAGTCCTATTATACCCTAATTATACTTGAGTAAAACAAGATATGTAAACTAAATAACATAATAAAAAGAACTTAATATTTATACCTAATTAAATTATTTTGATGACATTACTTCAAACAAGAATTTTGCTACATTGGAGTTGGGTTGACTAAGAATCACATTGAATACGCCAACATCCAGTCTGTTCAAATTAAAGGTATTTATTAAACCCGTTCTCCCAGAATCAAACCGGACACATTCCACCAATAAATGATATAAGTCTTCACCTACGCCACAATCTTCACAGTTTGGTGAGTCAGTCTTCTTCATCATAAATTTGAATTTATTGCATAGTATATGTCCAGATCTAAGTCTGTGAGCTATGACAACCAGTTTCCTATTCAGGTTTGTGTTTTCCCACCAAGGAATATGAAGGGGCTGACACTGGATAGTCTTATACCATATACCCTTTTCTATTGAGTGCTCATTGAAATATTCCTTCCACTTTTGTAAACAATTTTTTTTATATTTAGGCAAAAGTTCTGAATAATCTGGTATAATATTCATTTCCTTCCCTGAAGAAATTGCAGATTTAGCCAACATGTCAGCCTCCTCATTACCTCTTAGGCCAGTATGCGATGGAACCCACTGCAACCTCAGAAGCATACCCCGATCTGTTAGTTCGTCCATCTTTTTAAGAATATCATAAGCTAGCGATGCACCTCTAGAACCAGAGGCGCATCGAGCTATGTGCTGTAGTGAACTTTTGCTGTCAGACAAAATAACTACCTTCTGATGTACGCTACTGTTACCAACATAAGATATTGCCTCTGAAATTGCAATAAGCTCCAAGGTCATAATACAAACATTTTGATTAATTCTAAAACAATTTTCTAGGTTAGGTATTGAGGTATTAGGTACATAAAATGCTGATCCCTGACCATTTACACTCTTTGAACCATCTGTGAATATAGGAAACCAGCCTTTATACTTAGAATATAACTCATCAATTATTGCTTGATTTAATAAATTAATTTCGTAGGATTTCTTTGAGTTAGTAACACAATCCAATTCCGATACAATTAGTTCACTAACATTAAAATTAGAAACCCACCTTCTTAATGTAAACATTTTTAAAGGATCACAGGAAGTCACAAGTTCTTGTTTGACTTCGTCATATACAGATACATCACCCAAAGGTAGACTGGAAGAGAATGTTCATTGCATTAAGTCTGCCTTATGTATTTGGTTGAACACTTGAGCACGAAGTTTTAAATAAATAACTAAATAAACATTATGTCAACGTTTAGTCCTCGAAGGCGATTACATCCTTCGCTAACCTAGAATCTAGACACTAAGTAAGCGGTTATTTAATGGCTGACTACGAGATCAAGGCAAAACAACACATTAATGGAAACCTGTTTTAGGTATACCTTTATACAAAAAGTGACTACTGTACAGGCTGCTATACAATTTACTTGTATATTTTTAGGGATATGACAAACAACATGCTTGCGATGTTTTTTTTTACCCTTACTCGCCGTACGCGAAGTCATTTGATGACTTTCTCCTCACAAAAAAAGGGCGTGTGGGAATCAAATTCATCCGGGGGTAATTGAGAGTCCATACTGAGATATTTAACTTATTCAGCACGAATAGATCGGTTCGACCCGAGTAATACCACGTCCTCACAGTATACCGGCTTCAAGCAACACTTAGATACGTTGTATTTCTGCGTTTGAGTGTGGTTACCGTACGCCCCATCCTCAATCCTTAAATCCCTAATTACCCACAAGATGCCGGCGACGCACTTGTAGTATTCCGAGTCCATGGGTGGCGTCAATTACTTGCCATCAGGTAATCCGCAAGTTCAGTTGCCGACTTATGCCATAAAAAAAACAATTTACTATTTTACTAATTTCACACGCTGTATTCAACACCAACGGGTTAATGACCGCAATAAAAGTATCAATATGATTGACAGGCACAATACCACAGAATAAAAAGATGAATACATAGATATAACTTATTTGTTATATTTTCTTTAAATTTTTCGACGACCGATGTTAGAATTGATTTCTAAATTTGAAAAATATTAGGTATATGAACTGCTAATTCTTAGGTTATCTTTTTTACAGTTTTAATGTATGTCGCATTGACATCCCTACACTGTATGCATTGCTAGTAGTTCTTTAAAATAATTTCACTTTCGATATAATAGTTATTTTGCAATTTAGGCAATGATTTAAACAAGACGTCATAGAAAGTTTATAGATCTCTAACACATTTACTATTTTGACAAAACTATATAACATATTTATGACAATATTATAGTGAAGCTCACAGTAAACCTAGAATCTCCAAGGTAATCCAGACGGTCCAAGTCTATCAAAGCAATGCCTATGTAGATTGGCCAGCAATTCAACCTTCAGGACCTGTTCTATTGCATTTCTAACTTTATTTCAAGACTATAAAGTTGAATTTAAAACAAATAATTTTGGCTAATTTGTATAGGTTGACCCGCTGTCCTAGGTAAGTGACTTCGAACTGTTCATATATAATAAATATAATAACGATGTCAGTTGAATGGCTTTACATGTTTGCAAATATTTACGGTTAACCATTACATAATCTATATGTAACATAACGTACATATATAGTATATAACAAATTGCACATATAACAAATCTAGAAGAATCTCTTATATGTATACATATAACAAATCAGTAAAAATATTTTTACTGTACATTAAGTATTTTTGACTTAAATAGATAGAGGGCCTTTATCTCCAAAAGTACTGATCCGATTAGCTTGAGACATCACTATTTGCTTTGTTACAACTCAGAATAACACACTCTCACTCTCACTCTCACTCTGACTCTCACTCTCACTCTCACTCTCACTCTCACTCTCACTCTCACTCTCACTCTCACTCTCACTCTCACTCTCACTCTCACTCTCACTCTCACTCTCACTCTCACTCTCACTCTCACTCTCACTCTCACTCTCACTCTCACTCTCACTCTCACTCTCACTCTCACTCTCACTCTCACTCTCACTCTCACTCTCACTCTCACTCTCACTCTCACTCTCACTCTCACACGCACTCGCACTCGCAATCGCACTCTCATTCGCACTTGCACTTGCACTAATAACGATTTCAGTTGAATGGCTTTACATCTTTGCAAATATTTATTAAATGGTTAACCATTACATAACCTATATGTAAAGCACCTGGATCAATAACTCCCGAGACCAACCCAGAGATAGCGCTCGTAGTAAATCAGTAACCACAGTCAGTCTAAAATTTTAAGTCGATCGGCCCAAAAACAGCTTAGTTATCCAGGTTGGAGTAGAGTCGTTTCGTAGTTTGTTTAAAAAATGGAAAAAGCCAAATTAGATGTTCTGATAACTTATTGTTTTTTAAACTAAACTCTCACTCTCACTCTAAACCCTCTTCTCTCTCACGCTCACTCCCACTGTCACTCTCTCTCTCACTCTCACTCTCACTCTCACTCTCACTCTCACTCTCACTCTCACTCTCACTCTCACTCTCACTCTCACTCTCACTCTCAATCTCACTCTCACTCTCGCTCTCGCTCTCACTCTCACTCTCACTCTCACTCTCACTCTCACTCTCACTCTCACTCTCACTCTCACTCTCTCACTCATTCTCACTCTCACTCTCACCCTCACTCTCACTCTCACTCTCACTCTCACTCTCACTCTCACTCTCACTCTCACTCTCACTCTCACCCTCACTCTCACTCTCACTCTCACTCTCACACTCACTCTCACACTCATTCTCACACTCATTCTCACTCTTACTCTCACTCTCACTCTCACTATTACTATCACTCGCATTTGCATTCGCACTCGCACTCTCCTTCGTACTCACACTCGCACTCGCACTCTCATTCGCTCAAACTCATTATACTTGTACAAATACAAATACTTTTAATACAAATACTAATTAGTATTTGTATTAGTATTAGTATAGTTAGTACTAATAAGTACATATATTATAAATACACTATATATTATTATTATTATAAATGCGGAATTATGTCTGTCTGTCTGTCCGGCTTTCATGACAAAACAACTGAACCGATTGTAATAAAATTTGGTACACAGATAGCCTAGGGCCAGAAAAAGGACATAGGCTTATATAACTTCCCGCTATGACCAATAGAAGCAGAGCCAAAAAGAGAGATAAAAAAACCGGCCAAGTGCGTGTCAGACTCGCGCACCGAGGGTTCCGTACAAACCTGCAAGGTTTACAAAGTTCGTAAATTGCTGTTTCTTTTGATTGCGTTGACATAGAAGTTTGATTTCGTTATAGCTTAAAGGTATTATAGACCTGAGTATTTGGTATGAATTTCAATTTAATACCTCTGAGTGTTTATGAGGAAATGGGTAGTAAGTTTAAAATTATTAAAAAATATATATTATGTGATGTAACTAAAAATTTATGGTTTTCGTAATTTTTCCTTTATCTATGCTATAAGACGTTGCTTCGTACCAAATTTCAAGACTCTGAGTTCACGGGAAGCACCCTGTAGGTTTTGATTCCCTTGCAAGTGTCGAAAATTTGCGGCATAAACGGCTGTATCTTTTGATTGCGTTGGCTTAGAAGTTTGAGCTTCAAGGAACAGTAGACCTGAGTAATTGATATAAATTTCAGCTTCATACCTCCACGCGTTCCTGAGAAAAAGGGTCTTGACAGACGGACGGACGGACGGACAGACGGACAACAAAGTGATCCTATAAGGGTTCCGTTTTTTCCTTTTGAGGTACGGAACCCTAAAAATGTTGCGAAAACGGATATAAAATACTTAAACATTTGAAATAAGTAAGAAACATGTACTATTATAATATTGGTCGTCATTATATGCATATGGTAACGTTAACTACGAATGAACTGATATGAAAATAAATACCTTAAAGTGACCACGTGTCAAGAGATTAATGAAAACCTTTAACTAGGATAATAGCGTTTTATTAGTTTACTACACTAATCACATAAACTGCGCATCTGTTTAAGAACAAATGACCGGCTATTAGAAGGCTATATTAAATATAAATGATGATTAATTTGTAAGAAGCTTACCCACTGTTGTTTTATGTAACAGATTGGCAAACGAGCAGACGGATTACCTGTCGGTAAGCTATCAGCGCCGCCCATGGACACCCGCAACGGAGGAGTTACAAGTGCGTTGCCGACCTTTTAGGAATAAGGAATTTGGAAATTTACGGACTGGGGAGAGATTGGGGAAGGGGAAGGATTGTGCCTCCGGTAACCTTACTCACACGGCGAAACACAATGCTGTGGTTGTTTCACACCGGTTTTCAGTGAGGCCGTGGTATCGCTCCGGTCGAGCCGACCCATTTGTGCTGAAGCTTGGCTCTCCCACACTTAACAAAACAATAACACTTATAAACAATAACAATTTTGAAAATGTCATATAAGACTACAAAAACCGGAGAACGACTGCTAAGATTATCGTGATATTCAATATTCATCCCGAACAGAATGCACCAACAACATAAATGAAAATAAGAGCCAAGTTCAATATTATTACCTATTTTCATGGTAAGCAAGCAGCACCTGATGGTTAACAATCGGTGCCTTCAACGCGAGAAGTTACAATATCGTTGCCGCCCTTTGTAGGGTGTTTGGGAATTATTAAAGAAGAAGGATTAAAGTAGGTCTTCTACACTTTCTTTACTCTTTTTTCTTCGATTCGATAATTGACTATAACGACAAAATAAGTGAGATCTTAATGGGTGCCAAGTTCAATGATTAGCCCTTAAAATTTTATTATAAAATTATGCATCTACCTAATCGCAAATATTCTTATAACTTTCACAATATATTGTAGTCTAAGGTCTGATTTGGCTTGACTTGGAATTCTCACCTACGAAGTGGACACCAGTTTTTTAGAACAATATAAAAAATCTATGACTAACAGGTTTAGCACTTGCGAAGGCTATAATATAATTCGTATAAACTCAAAGTCAAACAAATCATTTCACTAAAATTAGACCTTTATATGCACTTTTGACCGTCAAATGGAGATTTAGCCTGTTGATGTATAGTAAGGTCAGTCTGTCGGTCAGTCCTCTATGGAAGCTACCACTCGTACCAGAAGTGTAGATTCCGATAGAAAATAACGAGCAAGGAACACCATGGTAATAAGCGTGGCGAGAAAGAGGGATACTGAATAAAAACCCCCTGTTCCTTCTCCTGCTCTGTGCCGAGGTCGCGGTACCTCATTGCGCCTACCCCGCAACCCCGGCTGAGAGAAAGAGGGATGGAGAAAACTTTCAAACTAAAAATATTATGTTGTTCATCATCATCATCAGCCTGTTGTCGTCCACTGCTGGACATAGGCCTCCCCAATTGCACGCCACTGAGCTCGATGTTTAGCTCTTCTCATCCAACCACTGCCAGCTACCTTGCGGATGTCGTCAGTCCACCTAGCTGGAGGGCGCCCTACACTGCGTTTGCCTAGACGTGGTCTCCCCTCTAGAACACGTTTACCCCAGCGGTCATCGGTTCTTCGACAGATGTGACCTGCCCATGATTATGTTGTTGTTCGATTTAAAAAACTATTCTGCACTTTCTTGGCTGTTCATCTAGCATCTGATTGGAATCTGTTTATTCTGTTTTATATACTTTCTAATATTATTATAATCGTGAAAGTTTGTAACTATGGGTGGGTGTTTTTACTCTTTAAAAACACAGAGGGTTCTTGTGATTCGGGTACAGAGGCGAAGCCATTGGCAAAACATACATTATTGTAGAGTCACAAATATAGATATTTATTCTAATTGAAAAAGTCAACCTTAATGTAGTACAGCCAGGAACGGTGTAGATGATGCCTTTTTTTTGTGATGGAAAAATCAACAAATGGGTTCTGCGGAACTAGGTGGGACGAGGAGTGTCAGACTCTTACTGACTTACACGGGCCATAGTACATTCCTCGGCTTGCACCCGCAACCCCGGCTGTGTAGATGATACATAAGCTGTAAAACAAGTAAAAGAATATTTTCATCCATAATATAATGAACCTTATAATCAAAGTTTACAAATATAAGGAAACTGACCTTCACCTCGACCCCGACCTTAGGTAACATTTAGAAAAACGAATCTGAACGGAACACGCTAAGGCAACCCACGCCACTACTTATGATTATTAAATCAATGTAATTGTCCTGAAATTGCTTTTGTACTAAAATTCCTTTACTTCTTAGTATTTACGTATTATTTAACATATAAAATAACCAAATATTCTCCGAAAGAATGGACAGAGTTCAGTTAATTTAAATTTGCCTCCAGAATCGTTTATATTATACATTAAATTGGTAATTCAACTTAAAGGATGTTTTTTCTACAAAATTTCGTTTCATTTTACGATGATTCAGCTTTTTTCATTCAAAGGATATACTAAAAGCCATTTCAAGGTTATCCATTCTTTACCGGACACCCTGTATATGATTTATTGAATGAAATTAAAGAATAGATAAGAAATTGTGCTACTTTCTTATGATAAGTGATCGGTACCTGTGTCCATTGACAGTTATCTAAATGTGTATTTCAGAACGCAGCTCATTTTCCTACCAGAATACTGGGAAAGATTCAGGTCCGGTCTCCTCTCCAAGCTACTTCAAGTTTCTGGCAATCATACGACAGGACTGTAGGACACCAAAGTAACAGTTCTGGTGTTCGTTGATTTCTCCAATGCCTTTAACATGGTCAGCCACAAAATCGTTCAGCTATTTTGTCACCGCTTCGTCTCTCGTCACTGATGGTGCACTGGAAATATCCTCCTCGTATCTTTGTACCCACAAAGACACAAGGCTTTTAAGGTTTCTTAAATTAAGCAATAAAAATAACAAAATCGCATCTTGCTAGCATTGTATAACATATAAAAATTGTTGACCTTACTAGTCTAGTTTTCCGCATATGTTAATAAAAGTTACGTAGGTATCAATTAATTTGTTTGTATAATAATGTTCTGAGAACATACAATATACAATAATAACAAATTCTTTATAATAAATACCCGGACGAAAACGTATTCGGCCTCGAATATTTCCGTTTTAAAGAAAATTCTAGAAAGAACAGATTTTCCCATTAAATTATTGACATTTTAATGCAAGTTCAACATTTAAAAGATTATTCAATCATGTTATCAGAGATAAAAATATTTCTAATTAAGATAATTTAATTGACAACTCCAAAGGTCAATATTTTGTCATCATTATACAACAAAAATTCTATAGCATTATTTTGCGCATAGTCATAGCAAATTCATATTTAAATTATCTGCAGTACACAGTTCACATTTGGTTATCACTCGATTTTAATCAGAACCGATTTATAATACAATACAATAGACTTGCTTGAGTGCATCGACCTTGACGCCTTTAATAAACAATAATGCCGAGACATTGTCCCACAGATAAGCAAAAGTTTTTTGTTTTTTTTTTATTCCGTATGGCAACGGTATGACGGTAGGAAGGTCTTTCATTTTTGAGAAAAAACGTTTTTCTTTTGAACAATAGAATATTTATTTAGAGGTTGCGAATGTAAGGGGAATAATTTACCTCGGCCCCGGCCTAGAACAAGAGAAGGAACAGGGTGGGTTTTAGACAGGAGAGTGTGACTGCCCAGATATGTACGGTCAGAAAACCAGAGATTCTCACTCCACTCATCGCATTGGAGAAGACTTATCAGGAATACATATGGATTACTCATTATTAAGAAAATGTGGCATAACTTGCCCTAAACAAAAATGAGTACAATCAAAGTGAACAACAAACAATATCTAAATTGAACACTATTGAAAACAATTAGTTTATCTAAACGATCTATGTCATTATTACTAGTCTGTGCCTTGCCAATTAAAAAACGATCACGATACACAACACGATCTCAATTTAAATGTGGGCAACCCCATTACCAAAAAGGAATTTTAATTTGTTTTATTTTTAGAGCAGAGCCAGTAACACAAGCCTAACCTCTGTTGTTGCCGCTGTCTCTAGTTTGTAGTAATTGAATGCCTTCTTTGATGAGGTAAAATTGTTAAATGACTAATCTTGCCGCAGCTTGCAGCGTCTGGTGACCATAAAAACGGGAACCCAATTGCTTCATTTTTATAGGGATTTAAACCACAGAATAAAAAAATCACAGGAAATAATGAATCCTCAAACGAATAAATCACTTTGAATAAATCGTGAGGAAACCTGGATACCCGTATACATATCATTTCTAATTCTAAATTTGAAATCTCCAATCTACTTGAGCAAGCGTGATCATTTATTCTCAAACCCGTGTGAGAAGTGTCAGGCTGAATCAAAATCTGACAAAAATAAATATTATTCATATTTTTATTATTCGCTGTGCATGTGCCTTGTTCATAAGATACTTTACGATGTTTAAGTTGACTTTTGAACTGCGTACTTACAAAATATTACATTATACATTTATATAAGTCTCTAAGGCCATCTTAAATTTAAAATTCGAATACAATGCTAGAAATTCTTCCCAAACTTAATTATAATATTTACGCCAGCTGGTTACGACTACTCAGCAATCGCGTTCGCAATTCCTGATTGTGTTCGCAGATAAATGGAAAAAAGAATTAGAAACAAAAAATATTTTGGAGACGGAAAAGATTTTCGCATTTATGTTAAGAGATGTATGTAACCTTTTTCTCTTAATAGCGATGAGGATTAAGTCTGAGAGAGCTAAGCTTCGACACGAATGGGTCGGCTAAACCGGAGAGATACCACGGGCTTCACAGAAAACTAGCTTGTAAAAACGCAGCGTTGTTATGTTTCCCCTCCCCCATCCCTTCCCAATCCCTAAATCTCCGAAACCCTATTCTCAAAAGTCCAGCAGCGCAATCGTAACTTCTCTGGTGTAGCGTGTGTCCATAAGCGCGATGATCGCTTACCTTGGCATCAAGTAATCCGCTCGGCTGCTGACCTAACACATAAAAAAGGACTTCATTATGCAAGACAAATTTTAGTTCCTAACTTAAAAATATTTTTTAATAATATCAAAGTATCTTGTAAAATAAATCTCAATCAAAATACAATAATCTATTTCGTGACAAGTTGTAGGTCGAAGCATCGCCCTAATTCAAATTCGCCCATGGTCAAAACCTATCATGACTTTGCTAAAAATATTCTGTACCTACATCTTCCGACAACTTCATTGCAGTTTGCAGTATCGTAAGCAGTATCAGTAATATCATATCATTAATCAGTATAAACCGTAAACGTGCGATTACGTAAACGCACGCGTAATAAGTTACCGGTAACACAGCGTAACGCAAATTTCCTAGTTCCTCATACAATTAACTGTTATTTAGTGCGTTAGACTATGCTAACGTAAGCTAGGTAACTTAGGAGGTTATTAAATATGCAATAATAGTTGTAGCTATCTGAAGTAGAAATCATAACTTAATCTATACTTAGAAGAATATTTGTGGAATACAAAAATATTGGATACAAATACACTTTTATTTATTACAAAAACACTGCAGTTACGTCTGGACCAACTTTATCGTTATTATTGATAGCACACTCTCTAATCATTCACTACTCGTCACTCATGAAAAAACTAATTATCATATTTTTCTTATAAATATGTAAATATGAAAGAATATTTCTAAAACTAACCTCTTTATACAGTTTGTTTCAAACTAGGAACAAAGAAACACGTTCTTTTTTTTATTATATTTTTTTATAAGTGATCAACAACTTTTTATTTCTTTTTTTAAAGTTGACGTTTTATAATCAGTGTTGCTAGTGGCTGTGTCTAAAATGTCTCAAAATCACGACATGCCGAAACATACGGTCAGTGTATATTATACAGTGCCAGTCATAAAAAAATGTCACTTCACGTTCGTACAACTCTTAGGTTCTTACATAACATGTTAATCACCTAGTTTTGGCTTATTTTGGCGCCATTATCACTAGACATAATAATTTTACCATGAAATACTCAATACTAAAAATATTATTTACACACAATTCATTTCATTACTTTGAGTTTTACATAGTTGAAAAATTAGGTTTCTATATTTTGTGTGATAAAAACAAAATACAATCGAATTGAGAACCTCCTTCTTTTTTTGAAGTCGGTTAAAAAGGGAATCGAGCTTTGCGTGTAAGGTAAATCTTGACCCCTGACCTGACCCATATTATTTAAAATAAAAGCCAGGCTATTGATATCGGAAACTTAATAAGCAAACGCCGAAAGTCCGAAAAGGCGAAATACGAGAAACAGATTTTTTATGAAAATTTCAAATTTGTTATCAGTTCAACAGATGAAAATTTGTTATCAGTTTTTATAAAAATACAACTCAATTTAATTTTCTATTTTTTAGTTATATTGATATTGTTTATAAATAAGTAATAAGTGGGTATACAGGTATGCAAATATATCTCATTTTCTGACCTTGACATTTAGAGTAGCAAATTTTTTTTGTTGGTATTTCGTACCTGTATTAAACTAGTTTCGTTCGAATTGAAATATTTTTTAAATGTTAGTTACCTTCCAAGCTTCGCTCACTACGTAATCATTATTAATGAATGTTTTATATTCTCATACTTCCTTTTTCAAACAAAGCATTATTAGACAAATTCTATTTGTAAATTTAAGTATATTATATCAACAGTTTTGGTCTTAAATCTTAGCAGCACAATAATTATGTATTATTATTTCATAACCAAAGCAAAATAATAGTATCTATTCAAAGGTCGTTGTTAAGGCTGGATCATGCTTATACCCACTTTTCGATATAAATACCTAGTATAAAAAATTTCAAAAACAACTTATTTCGATATAAAACAAAATAAAAAAAGTATATAAATATGTATAAATAATATTATTACCATGGTAACGTAACAAGTCTTTATGTACCTATCCCATGCAAAAAACAATAAAAAAGATTTTTTTATAAGTTGAGTTATTTAAAACGCATTAGAGTTGTGTGTATTTTTATATTCAGAGTTTTGTAATGTGAAACAGAACCTAATTATAGTATGTCAGTAAGTACCTACACGTAAAACACTTTTCTCTTCCAATAAGCTAAGACAATTAAAATCAATTCACATATTTATAATAGTAAAAAAGAAGAAAAAAATTGGATATCACACTAAAGTGTCAATCGCGCACGTGATTATCGATTCTGTATATATTATAAATATAAGTAGCTAATTATATATCATAAATTTTTCTATAAAGAGGTAGGTACGTATAAAATCTTGACGCATCCTAGTCGAATAACTAAAAGCAAATAAGTTAGTGTTTATATTCAAGGCTGTTTTTTATGTGTATAGTACGCTTGTGTATTTCAAATTTCTCTATGAAATCGTCAGTTATAATGATTTCCTATAATATGAAACATTATATATCAGCTGATGACAATATATTTAAGGAGCTTGAAGATATTTTTTCGTTTTCTCAAACTTACTCAGAGTGATTTATAAATCAGAATAATCTTCGTTTATGATCATTTCAAGTTTTATATTGTTATAAACACATATAGATAGGTATATGTAACACTACCACATTAATATTTTGTTTTTGAAAATCATCCAATGGAATTCTGAGTTTTCGAATCAACCTACTTATAGATAAGTGCCCACTGCTGAGCAAAGACCTCTTCTCATACGGATAAGGTTTGAGCATTAATCACCATGCTTGCTGAAGTCGGATTGGTGACTTCAAACTTGTAATTAAAAAAAGTCCAGGTTTCCTCCGATATTATCCTTCACGGTATGTCAGTGGTGTCTAAATAATCATAGAATGAATTTCTATACTATAACTCAGAAAAAGTAACAGGATTCTTACCTACAACAACAACATGAGAAACGGGCGCCTTAACCTCAAGGCCACCATGACAGCCAGACTTTTACTGACTAAAAACCAACCCGTTTCTTCTCCTGCCGCTGTTCTTCATTCTGCCCTAAACTCACTCCTAAAACCGTAATTAATTGCAATTCAAAGACACCAATCTTATTATTGTTATCCTTACTTATCGCTTGGAGACAAAACCCAATAAAACAATAAATGAAGATCGAGAATCAATTTAAATATGTATGTACATTAATTTATTCAAGAAACTTCCATAGTAATATGTGCATGAATCAGTCTTGTTGACAAACATAAACTTAGAAGTTGTTCGGTTTGATCTTATCGTTTTTTTTTTCAAATTAATTTGTAAGTATTATACCTTTTTAAAAAGAGGAATAAATGCGTCAAAATTTGACGTCACTTGCCATACTATTTTGGTACATTTTTTTTACACTACAGTCGGTCAAAGTTGCGAAATTCAATAGTTTTCCATATCACCTTTAGTTAAAATAATATTTTATTTTAAAATGGTACAATAAGTACTTTATTTTTACATTCTATTTAGACACAGCAATACCCTAGATTACAAAACCTCCAAGAAATATCGAAATTATCAGCATTAGCAGTCACAGCATTCAAAAGTATGTCACAGGGTGCTCATTTCCCCTTTTTTTTGAAATCAGTATAATTCTGTAAGTACATGGGGTGGATTTTTTAAAATATTTTTCTGAGTACTGTTAGAACTTGGGGCATCGTGGGAATCCAGTTGGACGCCAGGTTCTTGGACACCCTGTATATGCACAAAACAAATAATCGTCCTTTAGCTTGTTACAATAAAACTGTTTAGACAATTTCGAATTAAAAATATTTAAAAAAAGATCAAGAATATAACGAATTACCATTTAAATTTTTCAAAAAAAAAGAAAAGAATGACGAAACGATATAATAATTTTATTATCCGACTTATGAGTCAGATAATTGGATAGTTTTATATATCTATATTTTTTAAACATTTGAAATGAATTATTAAAATATTAACATATTTACTTTCATTCCTTGCTTTCACGATTGGGTAGTTTCTAGCCAATTGTTAATCCTTATGTATTGCATTTGCAATGTCATCAGTATCTTATGTTAATCATAGTTGTTATTTTTAAATAATTTGCGGTCGGTTTTAGGATATTGACCCCAGTTCGGGTGAAAGCCTCCAACACTTTCCATGCTTTTTAACGGTTTCCTGCAACCTTTCTGATATGATCAATACACCGTTTTTAATTATTCACATTGTGCCTGTATTTCTTCGCAGATATCGTAAGTGCGTAACTATTTATAATATTCTAAGTATAGTATATCAGAAACGACAAATATAATGCAGAAAATCACCTAAAATCAAGTTCTTCTAATAAACGCATACATACAATAAAAAATCGTGCGTCAACACAAATTGTTATAAATACATTTAAATAAAAAAGGCATTGCAAATGAGACAGCAGGCAAAATGACGCATCACCGCAAAATCCAGGGTTGTGTATCCAATACAATGATGCAACGCGGCCTCGACCTGGGGACGGAAGAGGGTAACAACCATAAATAAAAATACAAAAACAAATGAATGAATCAGGGTTTTTATAGTTACCTTTTTATTATTGAATACTAGCAGACCGCCCCTGTTTCACACGGGTACACGACTACCCTGGTGTCAGTCATTTGTTTTGCAAGCGAACTGCCACGGCGTAGTTAGGGTTGTTAATTACCGCTATTCCCTTTTACTTTTCTAAAGTTTTCTCTCGTAAGAACCTTCTGCTTATAATTACGAACATAACAAAAAAGGAATTAGCAATGAGTTATGCGCGTTTAGCGTTGGTTACCAACACATTTTGCGATTCATTTTTATATTATAGATTATTTCCCATTAATACACATAGGCACATATAAATGATGGAAACCTAAATTATAATAAAATAATTTGCAAAAAGCAATAAAATCCAATTTGAGCTATAGGTAGGTCATAAATTATAAGCTAAACAAATAATCATCATTGTATGAATCATAAAGAAATTTATGTTGTATTGTATTGTATCTACCTATTAATTAATTTATAAGAATATACTTAATTTCATAGTTGAACATTTTATCAATGGCTGACTAGATTATTTTTCATAAATATCTGAATTTTTATCAGCTGATTATTATAAAAGATTACATTACATCACATACTTATAATTTAACGATATAAGCGTATAAAAATAAATTTACAAATAAATATATTGCCATACTCACTGCACTTCATTTAAACATTCATGAGTGAACAACGCCATTTTTATAAACTATTCCAAATTCAAATCATACCACGCGTCATCTAGGAAAAAAACATTTTATTAATTCATCCTCGATTGAGGCAAAGGTTTAGACATTCAGCCAGTAAGTATATCGTATTCTCATTTGTAGCAGTTAGTTGAAATGCCGGCGCCAACGGGGCAGGACGCGAGTGCTAAAAACAGTGACGTGCATGTTATCGACATCGACTTCGATATCGATGAGGTTTTGGCTCCCATCGACAAGTCTGATATCCCAGTGATACACATCGACAAACCAAAACAAGTGGACACCATGAACGGAAACGGTAAGTTGTGTATTTTTAATTATATTTTATCGTTTTGCTCGAAATTTAATGAGTGCAGATTAGTGTAATATAAATTAGTATTTATTTATATTATGTAGGGGATCACGAATTTAAATTGTAACCTCGAACTTTTCCAAGTTCATCACAGGTTTAATATCAAGGCTTTTTTCCGGAAATGCAAATTATTTTTAGTCTAAACACTTAATAAGACTTGTTAATTGTCGGCTTGTTAAATATATAATTACTTATATGTAAATAGCTATAGCTATAAAACATTAAAGTGTTAATAGAATACTATAATAGATTGTTGTTTGACAAATAATTAATTCTTAGCATAAAATTAAACACGCGAATTATAAAAATGTGTAGATGGGTATCTAAACAAAGATACCACACGCAATACCGTGTTTTCTAATAATAAATGTCTACCTATGTGAGCTTTATAATGCTTTTTTCGCCCTCGAATAGCTATGTCGGGTTAGAAGAGGATGAATATCTTTTAAAAATGCTTTAGTAACTTAAGTAGGGTTTGCCTAGATAACATCGATTGGAATGGACATAGTGTTTACCAAATGAAATAATATAAATATATCAAAATATACAATAACTGACATTTTTCTTGTTTTGAAATTCACTAAAGGTATTAAGAATTTAACTAATCGGGTAAACTAAACAATGGAATAAGTAGGTAGGTACACCACGTAATTTCATTCATCTCTCTATGAGGCTCTATGAATGTGTTTTTCTTGCCCATTGTTTAAAAAATATTCATTCATTCATTTTCTAGATGTTTTAAATTTAAATCAAAAAAATTGAATATAATCTTAAACTCTTTGTATAATCTAAAGTTCTAAACGAAGTATCTAGTCTACCTACATATCTATCTTATAAAATTATTGTCTACGGTGAAATATGTGTATTGGTCAAATCCGATCCTAGTAAATAAACATTTTTTAATGATATAATTACCTACCTATTATAATTAGGTAAGATAAACAATAATCAAACTGTGTCATTAGGAGCTTATAGAACATTTTCATGGTACTTTTAAAGCTATTGCCATGACACGTTTAGCAACTGAAGATTACTGAGTGTATTAATATTTTTGATGTCTAAGGATATAAATAACTATTCAAAAACGCTCCCCATTCTTCAAATTAGAGTGAAATATATAGTTCAGTGATAATCCATCAGTTTTGTAATGAACTATCACTTAAATACTACGATGTAACCAAGTAAATAGTAAAAGATTTTAAATCGATTGTACGCTGACTTCGAGTTTCTCGATTGTTAAAATATTCCATCATACCGAAGGTGAGGTACCTTCTCACTACCAAATATGATAAAAAAACAAAGCAGTTCGAATTTAAATTCGGTGCAGCCATTCGTGTACGCGTAAGCCATAGATATCAACAATTTATTTTTCTTTTTAGACAATAGACAAAGTAAACGTCTACATATTTTCGCGCCAATTTTCGTTCCTTTTTTTACAATAAACAAAATACGCAGTTTGACTCACTTGTGATGCAATGTTTATATAATACTAAATAATACAATAAAAACAACAATTATACGCTGCGTGAAAGTAGTTTTACGATAAAAAATCAAGTTTCTTACATTTACTTCGCAGTCGTTTTGTGATCTTTAAAAGTGATATAATAATGTTAATCTGACTTTCGCAAAGAAAACTGCAGATTAAAAATAAACTACTCTTTGTAAACATTGAAAATTACTAACAGAAGTCACGATGGAGTGCAGTAAACTAAAAATTACACATTCATATCTAATTATTGATTTGGGAAAAACCCAATAAAAGTATTTAAGTTCGTACCTAACTTCCAAAAAACTGTTTGATAGTGTAGTGAGCTTGAATTTCATGGCATATCCATAACTGTTTATTTATAGCTCTGAAGACCTAACCCTCATTTTAAACAAATTACATTTTATCAATTACCTACCTTTGGGTGAAAAACACAAAAATGACACATAATTAATGACATCCTTTTTGTTAGGATAAATATAACGTTTGATAACCAAAACGCCAAAAGTGTCAATTTGAAAAAAGGCAAGATGTGAAAAATTTAACGATAGCTCTCAATTTTATTTAATAAATTTTACTGTGCAAAGTAAAATTGAGAAATAGATAGTTTCTGGAAAAATACTAGCGTCTAAATGAATCAACATGTCGAAAAATTTAATCCCGTTAGGTGAACCAACGCTACCGAGATTCTGATTCCAATTAAAAGAGTTGCTAAATGTGTGCATTTTTTAAATCACGTTTTTTTGGCATTTTAACAATAATCGCATGTTTATAAGAAAACAGAACTAACTCTTAGGAGAGGGTATTTTAAGATTGAACCTTATTATTGGTACATAATTTAGAAAATCGAAATACCTTATTTTTTGAGTTAGACCTCTTTTCTATTGAGCTTACAATTTGTCTTCTATTCTAGTATAAGTTCCACAACTAGGTTTGTCAACCTTATCAATAATAAAATACAAATATGTCTTAAAACTAAACTATTCACTATACATAATAAGTGTGGGAGAGCCATGCTAAGGCACGAATGGGTCGGCTCTACCGGAGTGATACCGCAGCCTCACAGAAAACCGACGTGTAACAACCACAGCGTTGTGTTTCGCCATGTGAGTGAGGTTACCGGAGGCCCAATCCTTCCCCTCCCCAATCCCAAATCCCTTATCCCCAAAAGGTCGGCAACGCACTCCTCGGTGGTTGCGGGCGTCCATGGGCGGCGCTGATTGCTTACCATCAGGTAATCCGTGTGCTCGTTTGCGACTTATAACTTAAAAAAAATGTACGCAAATCTCCGTACGAACGTTATGGCCGGTCACAAACCTGATTACGATCTGATACGGATTTTAATGTCATTAAATCTATATTAAAGTATAATATTTCCTAGTACTTGAAAAACAGGTTCACCTCGAGGTTATTACCGGGTTATTGCCAAAAACCTTTATATTTTTGCTTCAAAAACTTTATCTCTATTAGGTTTAACTTAATAAAAATAGGAGAACAAACCCATTTATAAATATGAAAATCTTCCAATGGGTATTTTGAGCAGTCTTGTTAGTCTTAAATTATTATTTTTATAACCTTGCCCAAAAAAATGGCTTGAAGCTCAAACGTGTTTTTACCTCAAGCATTTGTTTTTATTCTCAGAATACAGAACAAACCAGAAGGCGTCATCGCGCTTCAAGCTGACGCAACTAAAGCCATTCTCAACTAGAATAGTATGAAATTTCTACGATTAGTCAATTTTGGCACGTGGCATGTCGCGACGTATTTACGAGTATCAATTTTAATTTCATTATGCCGTCTTGTGTTATTACTACGAGTAAAAATGCGACTGGAATTACGAAAAAAGTGGATAAGATTACATTTCATCTGCAAGCATCGACTGCAATAGTGTATTTAATTAATTATTGAATTTTTTTTATCGATTTATTTTTCTATGAAAATGATGCGGCCATTTTGTGAGTGTTGTCATTTTTGGTGAAAATTTTACCCACTTATTTATTTGTTGTGGGTTATATTTTAGTCCATTATGGAGCCTATGTCATATTAATTCCCCTGACAAAAAAATAAATACAAATAAAAACAAAGGGCACGGTTAGATTAATTTTGGAAACCATCTAGCCAGAGCATAGTTTGCTCAATTCACTTTGAAGAGATATATTTATGACAAAGGTGGTTTGAAAACAGCATATCCTACTAAGATTGTTTGTTTGTTAGAATGCGCAAATCTCAGGAACTAAGTAAAGTAAGTAGACTTCTAATCTTTAGTTCCGAGTCTAAAGACAATACATATAAAAAACTAAACCAGCAAAAGGGAACGCAATAAAACCTTCGTACTAATTGAAGCTTTATTTTATTTGTTGTGTATAGTAGGTGTAACTAAAATTAACAAATCCAGAAATCGTCAACTTTTATGCTACCTCTATGAAATGTGTGAACAACTAGTCTGTTGCATTTATCGTAAGTTTACCTATTTTGTTGGGTTTACTCGTATCTTACCCTCCTGTTGTAAAATTACCCCAAACTAAGGGAATTGTTCCACTGTCGGCAACACTACGCGGGTGGGAAGTGCGGCTGGCGGGGGGATTGACGTATTGTTTTTGGACACATTTGACGACATGTAATTATGAGTGAACGCGGCTTCTGGTTTGTTCTGTATTCTGAGTTTTTATTATATCCCACGCAGCCACATTCGGCAAAAACACGTGAACGGGCTTTTGACTGACAAGTCGTGTTTAAGAGCGTTTAGCCTATGACATGTACAATAAACTGTCATTACCCAATGTGATCCAGAAGAAGTTCCTAGCCTCCTAATAAAGTTGCACCCATGATAGTATGGGATGGGAGTCCCATCCTATACTAAGATCCATCCACTTGTCCATCCATCCATCCACAAATTTTACCTCTTTATAATATTAGTATAGACAACATCTTAATCAACCAAATAATATCGTGGTTACCCGGAGGTAAAGACCCACTTCTTATACAAGAAAGGGTTCGAAACATGACAAGTACCAATGTTTCAGATATATATGTACTTTCTATGATTATTTAGACACCACTGACAAACGGTGAAGATTTATTCTTCTCCTCAAATAATATCTTCTGATTTATTTCGCTACGGGATGGAAAACTCATGATCCAGGACTCACGTCCCTGTCCTGTCACTGTCCCAGTCCCTGGGACGCGCCGGGCTTTAGTGTTCCAGCGTTTTCATGGTTGTATCTGTTGTAGATCCTGGTTTAAAGGACTTGCAGAGGTTTTGGTTAAAGCTCAAACCTTCGCCGTGTGAGAAATGGCCTTTGCTTAGCAGTGGGCATTTGTAGGCTGATGATGTGATTGTGAATCAACGAAATAGTTCTTAAGTACATAGTATTCTTAAGCATTGCTTGTCTTTCATAATCTAGTAATAATGTATGTAAACCTATACATATGATTTCCTTTGACACTGCCCTGACCAGTT